TATTTTATTTATTTACATTATTATTTATGTATGAAACTTCCAATTTGATCTAACAAGACAAGATATCGGAAAAAAAATTCTCGCTTGAAAAAAAAAAATAAAAAAAAATAATAAATACAACACTTTTATTTACCAAAAAAATTCTCACAAACATTTCTTAAAAAAAAAAAATAAAAATAAATAAATAAAACGCTTTTATTTACCAAAAAAATTCTCACAAACATTTCTTGAAAAAAAAAAAAAAACAATGAATAAAACGCTTTTATTTACCAAAAAAATTCTCACAAACATTTCTTAAAAAAAAAAGAAAAAAAAACAATAAATACAACGCTTTTATTTACCAAAAAAAATAAATTAAAAATAAAAATAAATTTAAAAAACTTAAACCTTCGCGCTTTCATGCCTTGCAACATTAGTGTAATCTGTTTTGTAGTTCAATATAATAAAATGACAGGAAAATATAATTTCATAGCTAATGCTGTGGGTTTGGTTAATTCTCGAAATCAAAATATGAATATTTATATTTATATTGTAGCTTTCTATCCAAAAGATTCAGTAAAAGATAGTGATTTAGAGAAATTTAAAAAAGGAGATATTATTAAAGTTCAGGGTAGATTTTCGATAATTAAAACAGAAGTCAACGAAAGTAAAGTTAAACTTATTAAGGTATTAAATAAATTAAATAATAAATTTGTACTTTTTTAATTAATATATTTTATTAATATAAATAAATATATAAATGAAAAAATTAGGTTGTAGCATCCGATATATGCATACTTAACCTTGACGAAGAAGATCTTTCAAGATCTTCCTTATCTGTTATATTGATAGATACTGCATCTGGTAATCCTAAAATTAGAACCGATAAAGTTACTCTAGATTTGAATGCAAGAGAATATATTGATAATCAAAATAATGGTTCTCTTTTGTTTAACTTATATCATTTTCCCGAAGATAGCCATTTGTTACCAATTACAACAAAAATTTCACGTGGTACACTTTTATACGTTAGTGGTTATTTATTAATCATTGAAGACCTTTTCCTTATTAGAATGACACAAATTAATTTTATTGAATCACCTTATTCAACAATTCATAAACCTTCAAATTATGCTTGGGAGAAAAGACAAGATGATTCCTCTACTTAATCATCAACTCTAACAGCTGCTGAAATAGCGAAATCACTTTCAACAAAATCTAATAAAAAAGGAAAAAATCAAACACCAAATTTACTTCAAATGCAAAAAATACCAAAACTCGCTTCTTTAACTTTATCTAAAATTAAAACAGAAGATAAT